GGGTTTTGGGAGGAGGGGCGGAAATGAAAACTTTCATAATTTAATAAACTTTAAAAAAATTTAAAAAAAAAATTAAAAAAGAAGCTAGAAATATTGAGCCAAGCAGTGATTTAAATAATACAGTTTCTGTGTGATTATTTCAGGGCGAAGGGGTTGGGAACTAACTAGTGGCCTCCTACAACAAATCCCAGCACTCAGGAGACACAGGTGGGCTGACCTCTGTGAGTTTGAGACCAGTCTGGTCTACAGAGCAAGTTCCAGGACAGCCAAAGCTACATAGATAAAACTTACCTTAAAAAACTTTTTTAAATTAAAAAAATAAGCTTTGTGTATTTTGCCTATATGTATTTTTGTGTTCCACATGCATTCCTGACCTCCCATAGAGGTCAGAAGAGGGTCAGTAACTGGAGACATACAGGCATGAGCCATCATATGGATACTGCGAATAGACCCAGGTCCTTTAAAGATTAGCCAGTAATCTTAAAAACTGAACATCTCTCCAGTCACTTTATTATTGTGTTTTCTTTATTTTTTATTGTATTTTTGTTTGTTTGAAAAGGCATCGTGGTGTAGGCCTTTAAACAGAGGATCTCTGTTAGCTAGAGGCCAGCCTGGTCTACAAAGTTAGTTCCAGGACAGGACATAATAAGATCCTGTCTCAAAAACAAAAAACAAGAAAACAAATAAACGAAAACAACCTGGGGTGGGAGCTGGAGAGATGCTCCATTACTAAGAACACTTGGTTGCTCTTCCATAGGAACTGAGTTCAATTCTCAGCACCGACATAGCAGCTAACAACCATATGAAATGCCAGTTCCAAGTTCTTTTTGGTCTCTGTGGACATTGGACATGAACACAGACAAAAACATCCATACACATTAAATAGAGGGTTTTAAAACCCAAAAAATAAAAATAAACTAAAAATATATTTCATTTTATGTAGATGATGCTTTACCTGCATGTTTGTACATGACCTCATGCTTGTCTGGTGCCCTTGGAAGTCAGAAGAGCATGTCAGCTTCCCTGGAAGTGGACTTATTAATGTTTGTGGGTGCTGGGATTCAAACCTGGGTCCTCTGCAAGAGCAAGTGTCTTTAACCAAGGTTGTTGTCCATTCTTTTTGTTTGTTTTGGTATTTGCCATCTCAAAGAACAAATAATTGAAAAGTATAGCCACAGTTTTTCCTCCTCTTTCTTATTTCCAGACCCCGATGTAGCACAGAAAATGCCCTGTGTCACACATGCATCAGCATCTCCTGCTGAGAATGGATCTTTCCAGATGCACAGTCTTGTTTTCACTCTCCCTGAACTGAGGTCTCAGACGTTCACTCAGGAAGCTGAGGGCTGAACTTGGTAGGGGATGAGTCCAGCACTGCCATGCTAGACAACCAGTTAGGTGGGCCAGATTGAAAGAGGCTGGGTCGTGTTTTCCTCCACAGGAAGTGTATCTGAGCTAAAGGATAGGAACAGGAAAAGAATGGGGACACTGAAGAAAGGGGGTCTCTCACCTGCACTGTGGCCAGGGCTTGTATGAATAAGCACCAGCCAGAGGAATTCTCTATGGGTCAAAGGCTGTTTCGTGCTCATGGGAAATGAGAGATACTGAGCTTGTTGAGGGACAGTTGGGAAAGTGTTATGAACAGGGACAAATGCTGAAGTGACGCAGAGATCAGTGAGTTTAGCAGACTCCCAGGGTCCAGGATGATGGGGTCTCTTGTCAGCACCAATGCTTGTGAAGTAGGTGATGAATGAGCTTCAGATTTCACCCCATCCCTAACTTCTGCCATTTCGGGATGGCGCGTTTGATACAAACAGTTCCTTGAACCATCCAGGACCCCATGAGGATGTGCTGGGTGGGGATTCAGGAGTGTGGTCTGGTCAGTCATCCCTGGGACTGGAAGGTAGTAGTTGAAAAGGAAAGCTGTGGGCTGTAGAAATGGTTAAGAGCACTAGCTGCTCTTGCAGAAGGATCCAGGTTTGCTTGGAACACCCAGATGGCAGCCGGAAATCATCTCTAACTCAGTTCCAGGGGCAACACCCTCTTTGTAGCTAAAAACAAACAAACAAACAAACAAACAAACAAACAAACAAACAGAGAAGGCTCTCTATAGGTTTCCTAAAGGATGATTTGAACTTTGTAGACCAAGAAATTTGTGGCCCTCCTATCCTAGGCTCCCAAGTAGTTAGTACTACAAGCTGATACCATCTAGCCTGCTAACCCAACATATGTCTCTCTCCTTCCTTTCTTCCTTCTTTCTTTCCTGACTCTTCCTCCTCCTTCCCCCTTCTCCCCCCTCCCACATCATATCTCTGGTTTCACATCTTGTCAATTTGACAATCAGCCTTAACCATTACATCTGTAATATTGAATAAGAAATGAATGGATGTTGGGTAATTACTTACATTTGTAGACGCCATCCTGTTCTATCAATAAGTGATCGAAACTGCAGGGGCTGGACTCGTGGACACTGCAGCAGACTTTATGGAATAAAGTAGCAGGTGGTGTTGTCAAGAATCCCAACAGTTTTGATGCTGTGGCAGTAGATTTGAGAGCTAGATGCAAGTCTAGCCTAGATAGTGAGACCCAGTTTCAAAAAAAATCAAAGAACCAAGACCCTACTACCCTGTCTTTCATCCCAGCACTCGGGAGGCAGAGACAGGCAGATGTCTGTGAGTTAGAGATAGCCTGATCTACAAGAGTTAGTTCCAGGACAGGCTCCAAAACTACAGAGAAACAAAAAACCAACAAATAAAAACCGCTATGATATAAATAACAAACCCCAATTCAAGATCTTTGATTGGCTACCACCTATAAGCTCATCAGTTTCAAAGCAGAAGGGAAGCTCTCACTCAAAACATAACCAACTAATCATTTGCTGGGTGGTGGTGGTGCACACCTTTAATACTTGCACTAGGAAGTCAGAGACTGGGAGAACTCTGACTTCCAAGTCAGTATTCTTTACATACTGAGTTCCAGGATAGCCAGGGTTATATAGAGGCCATGACAGAAAAAAAATTTCAAAACTCTGCAGTGGTCATTCAAAAGACTGAAGTAGAATTGCTGTAGCCTTCTGTCCTTGTGTCAGAAAGAGAATACAACCTTGGTTTCCCTAGAAAGTAGAGGAAAGTTACAGACACTTTAAGCTCAGCGGACATCCCTTGGAAGATGAAACCACGGGGCTCATGAACAGAGAGCATCATGACTCCTTTGGGAAGCGAATTATGTCCAAGCCTTGAAAGCTCTGGAGAGTGCCAGCTGCAGCAATTTGGAGTGTTGGAGGGAAGCAAGGCAAGGAATGTATCCCTGGCACTATAGTGGCCACTACTTGGTACCTTTTCAGATTTGGCCCCATAGGGATGGTCCCCAGGCATGAGTCTCTTGCCCATGAACCTACTGGTTCATTCACAACACAAGTGAATGTTAATGAGAACAGGACTCAGAGAGACAGGCTGTAATATAGGAAGGAAGCTGAGGCAGGAGGATCGCAAGTTCAAGGCCTGCCTGGAATATGGAATAAGTTCTGGAGCACTCTCAACAGAAAGCTGAAGAGACTCCAGTTATAGCCTTTATTTGAAAGGAGTGCACCACTGTGCCTGGCTAACAACTATAAGATGGCTCAGTGGTTAAGGGAGCTTGTGTTCTTGCAGAGGACCAGGATTTGATTCCCAGCACCCACTCAGAAGCTCACAACCACATGTAACTTCAGTTCGAGGGAATGACACCCTTTTCTGATTTCGCAGGTACTGCATGGACATGGTACACGACAAGCAGGTAAAACACTCAAGTGCAGTGAACATACTTTTCAGAAACAGATACACACCATCTTTAGAACACATCAGAATTTATTAAATAACAATGAATCTGCATACTACAACAATTTTGTTGTCTACAATTCACTAAGTACTATGATGTCACTTGAGAATCATAGCCACTAAAAATCCAAAAATTGTTCCAAGCTTAATCGCGCATTACACTTCAGACAATGAAATGCAGGCTACAGTGTAGCTAAGGGTGAAGAATTGAAGATGCCAGGCTTGGTGGGGCAGGCCTTACTTCCAGCACTGAGAGGCAGAGGCAGGCCATGGTTTTCTGTAACTTGAGTGCAGCCTGGTTGCATACCAGGTTACAGGGCTACCAAAAAAGACAATCTCAAACACCAATGGCTACAAAATTAAAGAGGCAGGCTGTAGATGTAGCTTGGTGAGTAGAATGTAGATTGCTTGCCTGGTAAGCAGAAAGCTATAAGTTCAGGCCACGGAATTGGTTTACTAGGTAGACACTGACAACCAAGATCAATTCTAGGTCCCTATACAACTAACTCATAAAAATTGGTTCAAACCCTCAAACACATCAGCACTAACCATTGTACATGTAAACACACACTATGGAAATGAAAAATTATGGGTTTCTTCCCCCCCCCCGGGAAAAAAAAACCTACTAGGGTTAACATCTACTTGCCTTGCTTCCATTCATAAACTTATAGGTGACAGTTTCTTAGGAGTGTAAATACATGATTTACCATGTATGTCACAGTACTGCTGTGTGGCGGTTGACTCATAGACAAGACAGTCATCCAGCCTCAGCAGTACAAACCAATTGTTAAATTCTTTTATGTCTATATGTTATAAGAAATTTTTCCTACATGTGTGTCTATGCACCACATGTATGTCTCATGCCCCGGTGGCCAGAAGAAGGCATCTGACCTCTATAACTAGAGTTATGAATGATTCCCACATCAGAGGCATGTGGGAAATCAAACCAGGTTCTCTGCAAGAACAGCAAGTGCTCTAAGCGGATGAGCCAACTCTCCAGCCCCCACAACAGCTGCTATATAAAAAGTTACTATTTTATATAGCAAGGCACAGCCACAGAATCGATTAAAAGACAGATAACCAGGTCTGGCGGTACAAGCCTATTCTCAGCACTAAGAAGGTAAAGGCAGGACAACCCAAAGTCATAGGACTGTATTAGATTAAAGGTAGAAAACAGGTTAATCCTCCAGGGAGAACTAACTGATGGTTGCAGTCTCAAGCCATGTGCTATGTATTTTCTCTGACAACTGTGTATTGCCTTTTCCTCCCAAGTGTCCACAGGAGAGCTTGATATGTGCAGCAAGCTTAATATGTGCTTGATATGCCCAACAAGTTCCAGCACATCATGTGCACATCACAACACACATCCTTCAAAGCTGGAAGACAATGCACTGGTTGTTCAACAGTTCTCCCCTTATCTATACACTCAAAACAAGGCTGGACAACCACCTCAAAGTTCTGGTGACAGATCATCACACCTAGGCATGATGACTACCGTTGACCCTTCAGATCTTAAGGTTATCTCGTGATCTCTCAACTCCCTCAAGAAATTCCCTGAGAAATGGTTTCCAGAGAAGTTAAGCGAGTGTAGCTGCCAAGGTTTTTCCCTTCTCTCCTGGCGATTCGCAGGGCTGTGTGACCTCCGGCTCCCTGGAGACTCTGCACTAGCTCTGACTTGAGAAGATAACCTAGCAAGAACCTGGTTCTCTTTGTTATGGTGATTCCACTTGTATTCAAGGTCTTAGCAGTGGGCTGATAGCCTGCCTCCCCTAGCTGACCCTGCTGGAGGGGCCGGGAAGCTTTAATCTTCTTCTCCTGCTCCTGGATGGGAGGAGGCCTTGCGTTTTCATCCTTCTAGCCCACTGGTATAAATACTTGACTTGAGTTTAATAAAGTTGCCATTTACTCTGGTAAATGAGCAAAGGTCTCTTTTGTGTGTGTGTCTCTTTTCCAACGCTCAGGACAATCGTCCATTCTCGTGGGCCCGAGTTCGGGAAAGCGCGCAGCCTGAACCGGGTGTGGGTATCCATTGGGAAGAGCAGACTCTTACAAACGAGATAAGCTGGGTACAGTCCCTCAAGAAGGACAGGATGGCACCAAAGTGGCCGTCCAGCAAATGACAGGATTCCAAGTCCAGAGTTAGCAAAGTAGACGCAGATTTTCGCAGCACAGTTTGCAGGGTCTCTAGGCTAACATGAGTCAGTTTGACCCTTTTCAAACTCAGATGTTTTAGCTTGCTTGTGCACGGGAATTCAGCCATATGGGCCCAGTCTGAGTTTGAGAGCAAGCAGTTAGTCAGAGACAGGGTCTCTAAGGGAGTCTTTAGCCACCTACAAAAAAAAAAAAAAAAAAAAAAAACAAGAAGACAGTTTTGGGAACATGCATGTGGTCCAAGATCCTTTTAATCACATGATAAAAGCCAGTAGCCACCATGCGCCATGACAGAGTCTGCTCATTCTAACCTGTACTGAGGCATTTCACCATCATGGTAGGATCAGCTCAACCCAAGACTGCAATTCCAGTCCACATAGGGAGGACCAAGGCAGGCAGGATCTGCCTATGGGTTCACAGACCTGCCTCTTCACAGAGCATCACCATGACCCCGATTCTCAACTCTGACTTCACGCTTCTCATCTCCTCACCCTCTGAGGTCCAAACAAAGCTGGGTACGGTGGTCCACACCTGTGCTACTCCTAGGGTGCTGAGACAAGAGGAGGGTTCGGGAGAGTACCGGCCAACCCTGTTCCCCATCTGGACCACATACACCTCATCTCCAAACCCAGCCTGTCCTAGATAGAGAGCTGGAAGCAAGCTGAGCATGCTCAATGTACAGTGCTCCCCACTACACGGCCTTCCTCCTTTTCCTTTTTCCCGTTCCCCTTAGACACTTGCTAAGAAAGAAATCAGACCCCATCCTTACTAGATCTCATCCCTGAGAGGCTTCCTAGCATGGATTCTCTTTCTAAACCACCAAACCCAGCTAGGCCCTACTCCTTTGGATTAGTACCTATGTGAGACCCTGCTCCAGAACAGCAGATGTAGAACAATGCCCTGATAGTCTCATGCTCTGACAAGGTTAATCTACCAGGGCTATAGAGAGCAGGTGGTCGCTAATGTCTAAAGGAAGAAGGCTTTGCCTGACACCCCTCCTTACCAGAAGAGCTGGTCTAGGTGATCCTCTAGGAAGAAGACATTATCCAGAATCAGGGCCTGGAGGTGCTTCAGTTTGAGAAACTTCAAGGTGAAGTGAGTCATAAACAGCTGCTTCTCCACTGGCGTGAGACAGGCAAACAGCCAGAAGCAGTAGAGGAGGAGACTGCGCAGGTGCCTCATTCGACCCAGGTAAGGGGACAAGTTAAGCAGACAGGTAAGATCATTCATGTTATACAAACCCAGGTGCTGAACACAGTTCAAGTCCAATGTCTCCAAGACATCTTTGTGATAATAAGTGGCCACGGACCAGATCTCTAGCTTGTTACAGCACAGACTCAGACCTTCTTTCTGAGCCACCCACTTAATGACAAAGTACTCCAAGGAATTTAATGGGCGTTCCTGCAGGACCAGGTTTATAGCCACCTTCACCCGTGGCTTCACCTCCTTTTCTGAAAGACCCACCACTGTTTGGTTCTCACTCCAGTCAGGAGCCTTGAACACAGACCACTGGTCCCACATCCTCAAAGGCAGAATCCGTAGATCCAGCATTTTCAGTCTGCACCTCCTGGGGTAGAGCAGGGAAGAGCATCAGCATGGAGGCATTAACCACTGCCCTCTTCCCACAGCTTCTCCTTAAGTCCAGCCAGTCCCACTCTAGTGTCTGTGGGAGCAGTGACTGGGTCCTTCAGTCTCTGCTGATTCATGAGTCCTGCATAAGCAACAGCCCTTTCCCAGAGGGCTCAGCGATGGAGTTCTCCAAGTTGGTCCCCCCAAAACCTCCACCCCATTCTATGTCCACTCTCTCACCTGATTCTACCTGTCCCCAGCTGTCTCTGTTTTTTAATTCCCAAGGCCTTCCTTCAGGGCATCAGGGTGTACTCACCTGTGAGGAACCTCCTGGCACAGCATGCCATCAAGCCCAAACAGGATAGTCTCTAAGATTGTCCTGTAGGAATCATCCCTCCTGATCATGGCTCCCAGTGGGAGGCAGGGGAAGGGCCAGGCCTGCACCATTGCCTTCACAATGCTAATTTTTCTCTTTCTTCAGGCCTTTTTGAACAGTGATGGGAAAAAAAAACTGAGGGTATATTGTCCAGATTAGAGATTGCCACGGTCTTGTTCCTCAGGAGGCTGTTCTCCGCCAGCTCCTGGAGTGTGAGTGGGGGCTTCAAGCTCATCCTGATGAATCTTCAGTAAGAAGGTTCCTGGAGCAACATTAGAAAGATACTCTTTCAGTCAGGTGGTGGTGGCACACACCTCCTTTAATCGCAACACTCAGGAAGCAGAGACAGACAGATATTTTGAGACCATCCTGGTTTACAGAGCCAGTTCCAGGACAAGTTCCAAAGCTACAGAGAAACCCTGCCTCGAAATACCAAAAAAAAAAAAAAAAGAAAGAAACCCATCCTATCAAATGAGTGCTGAGACACTATTCTCATCCATGAGGGGAGCCAACCCAGGGACAGTCACTGCTCTGAAAGTGGCAGAGACTTCAATTTAGCTCACTCCACTCAATGCTCCAATGGACCACAAAGCCTTCGAACTTGCTGCTGGTCCCAGGAGAATGGTCTCTCAAGCATCCATGGCCACAGCTCATCTCATTACTACCCATTTCCAGGTTGTGCACTGAATTTCATGTCCAGTGGGAAGTGAGTCCTGCACGTCTTAGAAGCTAAACTGGAGCTTCAGGGAAATGTGTGTCATTCAATACCCTTGTCGGCCAGGAGTGCTGGCATGCAGGTGCCATCCCTGAAGTCAGGAAGCAGGGAAGAGGGGGTAGCAATAACTTAGAAGGAAGGCGTGGTACTAACTGAGAGTTGTGACAGGCCTGTCAGCTCTTGGAAGGCAGAAGGATCAAGGGTTTGAGGCCATCCCCAGCTACATAGAAAATAGGACGTTAGCTCAGTTTACATCAGATCCAGTCTTAAATAAAAAATATCAGCCAGGGCTGGGAGGTGGTGTCACACATCTTTAATCCATGCCCTTGGGAGGGCAGAGGCAGGTGGATCTCTGTGAGTTTGAAGCCAGCCTGATCTACAGAGAGAGTTCTGTAGATCTCTGTAGAGTTCTGTACAGGCTCTAAAGCTGTACAAAGAAATCCTGTCTCAAAACAAACAAACAAACAAACAAAAAATCTTCCTTATCTCAAATCCTAAACATAAAGCATTATAAATCCATACTCTGTTTCAGGGAACATTCACCTTCCCTGGTGCCTATGCTCAGACACCCTGGGGGCTGCTGGCAATGAATGATGCAGGCTGTGAACTCCTTACTTCAATGGCATCAGTATCCTAAAATGCAACTACCGCATCCACACTGGCAGTTGGATGTCAGCATCAGAATTTTTGCTTCTGTTTTGAAGCAAGGCCTTCCTATGCAGCCTTGGCTGGCCTCAACTCACTATTTAGGCTGGACAGCTGGCTCAGTGTAGAAGAGAACATGTTGTTCTTCTAGAGGGTCTGGGCTCAGCTTCCCAGCACCACCTGGTGCCTCACCCCATCCATAATTCCAGTTATGAAGTTCTGATGCCCACTTCAGAGCACCAAACACGCATGAGCCGCATATAAACACACGCATGCAGGCAAAACACTCACACATAAAATGAATGTCTTTAAAAAAAAACTTAATGTGTAGACCAGGCTGGCCTCCAATTCACACAGACCTATCTGGCTCTCTGCCTGAGTGCTGAGATTTAAGGTGTGTCACCACCACCACCGGACTCCAACTAGTATGTTAAATGCCAAGGATTGAATTTCTGTGGAGCAAAATGTTTCTTGAAAGTCCAGGGTGAAGCTTCACACCCTCACCCAAACACTCATAAAGCTGGGGTAGTGGGATCTACAAGACTTCCAGGCTACCCAGTGTGATGGTACAAGTGAGTGGGTGAAACCATGGTCTGCTACCACTAAGTTCTTTTCATTTTCTGTTTTTTCGGGTTTCGAGACAGCGTTTTTTCTGTGACTGCTCTAGCTGTCCTGGAACTAACTGTGTACCAGGCTGGCCTCGAACTCACCAAAACTTGTCTGCCTCAGCCTCCCGATTTCTGGGATTAAAGGCGTGATCGCCACTGCCGGGCTAAAGTAATTTACCAGAGTTGGCCAGAAGAGAGAGGTCCACAGCAGGGCAAAGAAGTGACTCCTGCCTCGAGGTCTGTTTGCTTTGATTCCTCTGTTGACCTGGTGGCTGGAAACTCAGTACGTAGTCAAGGCTATCTTCAAACTCACAGCGACCTGCCCACCAACCTCGGGCACTCCATGGGCTGCTGATATTTAGACAGAACATTCGATTGATGGAGTAAGTCACAAAACAAAATCCCACGCAAACTCGGAATTAAGGTTAATAAAAGGGTTATTTATTTAAAAGGAAAAACTTACAGATCACCGTCCTAGACAACAGCCTCCTGCAGGAACAGGAAAAGCGTCTGATAGTCAGAAGTGGAATCCGAAGTAAGAGAGAGAGAGAGAGAGAGAGAGAGAGAGAGAGAGAGAGAGAGAGAGAGAGAGAGAGGGCTGCCGCCACTTATGTTTAAAGTAAAAGACACCACACCCCCAGTGGGCTGGTACCTCAAAGTCTATTGGTTGAAGTAGCAGAAGTAGCTCCCGCAGCATTCGATTCCACGCCCCCCTAAGCAAGCTCAGACTGCATTACAAACGGCCACTTGATTGGCTATTTTAGTCTCCACCCACTTCATCTGAATTTGATTTATCCCCAAAGAACTGATGTCTATAGCCAGCTGTGGCAGAACACCTTATTTTTTTGTTTGTTTGTTTGAGACAAGGTTTCTCTGAAGCCTTGGAGCCTGTTACAAATAGAATAGAACTAGCTATTGTACACCAGGCTGGCCTCGAACTCACAAAGATCTGCCTGCCTCTGCCTCCCGAGTGCTGGGATTAAAGGCGTGTGCCACCAACGCCTGGCTGGCAGAACACCTTTTTAACATCAGAGCCCAAGGCTGGAGGTATCTGCGACTTTGACACCTGCCTGCTCTAACTAAATATTGGCTTCCAGGGTCCAGCCAGGCCTCCTAGATGAAACCCTGTCTTTAATAAAAAGGAGGGAGGGGGCAGGACGGTGCCCACCTTTAATCTCTGTACTCAGGAATAAGAGGCAGGAGGAGCTCTGTGAACAAGCATTGCACATGCGCATAGGTGAGAAAAGGCACAGGCACTGTTTGAACCTTATCTGTGATACCCAAGGTAAAGAATTAAGATGGAAGCCTGGAGGTGGTGGTACAGGCCTTTAATACAGGCACTCTGGAGGCAGAGGTAGGCGGATCTCTGTGAGATCAAGGCCAGCCTGTCTAGAAAAGCTAGTTCCAGGACAGTCTTAAAACTGCAGCAAAACCCTGTCTCGAAAAACCAAAAATAAATAAATAAATAATAAAAGTTAAAAAAGAAAGAAAGAAAGAAAGAAAGAAAGAGAAAAGAAAAAGTACGCAGAAAAACAGTGGTGGTGGTTGTCTTTAATTCAGGCAGATGAAGGTGGATCCCAGTGAGTTTAAGGCCAGCCTGGTCTACAAAGTAAGTTCCAGGACAGCTATTACACAAAAAAACCCAGTCTTGAAAAAGCAAGAAAAAAAAAAAAAGAAAAGGAAAAACCTACAGGCACAGTGACAGAATTCTTTGCTACATAGAGGAAAGAGAATCCAGGGCCGACCAAGCTACACACTAACAGTCCAACCTGAGCTACATGAGACCCAGTCTCAGAAATGACTAGTGTATACCTGACATCATTCCTGCAGGATTCTTTGGCCACTTCAAAACAACAAAGATACTGCGCAGTGAGGCAGCCTAAGGAGGACAGCCAGATCCTGTCCACAGAAAACATTAGCAACGCTGTTACCAGTGCCACTGCGGTTTTTCTCTTTATTTCTGTTACTGACTCAAGGCTTCGGATGAGCAATCTAGGCTGGTGTGGGACTTGCTATGTAAACCAGGCTGACCCTGAGAGGTGAGTTTCAGTCTTTTCAATGCTGGATCACAGAGCAGAAACACCGCAGCTGGCAAGTCAGGTTTTAGGAGACATACTTTATCACCCCACGTTTGTACAGAAGCTGGGTGTTAAATTGGAACTCATCCTGTAAACCAGACTGGCCTCGAACACACAGAGATCCACCTGCCTCAGCCTCCCAAGTGCTGGGATTAAAGGCCTGAGCTGCCACTGCTCTGCTCAAGTCCAGCTTTTTGTTGTTGTTGGTATTAGGAATTGAACTGGGGCCTTCTGCATGCTCTCCAAGCGCTCTACCACTGAACCATATTCTCATCCCACCCCATGTCCCGCTCTTTAGGAAACAAAGTCAGTTCCATTGCCAGGGGCCCCAATAAGCCTCCTGCCTTGCCTGGGGAGTACATAGTATTATTGCTGTGTACCAATACACCTGGGCACCTGCCAAGTGGTTTTTAGGTGGTAAATCTGTCTTTTATTTCTGGTGGATGTTCAACCCTTAATTCAATCTTCAATGTCTCTTGGCCATTTTTGTAGGGGTTAGAAAAAAATCAGTGGATGGGACTGGCAAATGCAGTTTTGGAGACAGTATCCCCAGGATGTTTTGGGGCAGGTCTAGGGGCCTTCATTGTACTGTTGTTTCCTCTGTGTTCATAGAATACACTCACGAATGTGTTGACATCACTCGTAGCCATTTCTACACACATTTTGCAATGAAATATATTGCACCCATTTTTCTTTATAAAGCCTGAGGCTGGAGCCCAGTGCCTCAGGTGTGCTAGGCATGGAATCTCCCCCCAGCAACATCCCATCTTTGTTTCAGTATTTCTTGCAAAGGCTTGACTACTAATAAATTTAAGAACATGAGTCTAAGGTGTGTGTGGTGGTGGACTTCTTTAATTGCAGCTCTCATGAGGCAGAGGCAGGTGGATCTCTGTGAGTTCAAGGCCAGTCAGATCCACAGATTGAGTTCCAGAAGAGCCTGAACTGTGTAGTGAGATCCCGTCTGAAAACAAAACAAACAAACCTCAAAGGATCAACTTCAGTGGATACAGAAAACAAAACTGATTAAAAAACAAACAAACAAACAAACCAAAAAACCACTTTAATCCCAGCAGATGGGAGGCAGAAGCAGCTGGATCTCTTTGAGTTCAAGACCAGTCTGGTCTACAGAAACCTAGTTTCAGCCAGAGTTACATAAAGAAACCCTGTCTCAAGTTGGGGGTGGAAAGAACTGCAGTCATTTGTGAGCAACCACACTCTACTTTCCATAATTTTCTTCACTTTCTCCTTCATATTTATTTATTTACATATTTTGAGATAGGTTCTCCTTATGTATTTCTGGATACCCTGGGACTCTCTATGTAAACCAAATTGGCCTGGAATTGGCAGAGATCCTCCTGCCTCTGCGTCCTGAGTGTTGGTATCACAGGTGTCTGGCACTGGAATCATAATTTTATTTTATTTCTTTATGTTGGTTTTGTGATATTTTTATTGATTTTTATTGATCTCTATATTTCTCTCTGCTCGACTCCATGCCTCTCTCCTTCCCTTCAATCCTCTGCCAAAGTCCCCATGCTCCCATTTACTCAGGAGATCTTGTCATTTTCTACTTTCCATGTAGATTAGATCTATGTATGTCTCTCTTAATGTTCTCATTGTTGTCTAAATTCTGTGGGATTGTGGTTTATAGGCTGGCTTTCTTTGCTTTATGTTTAAAACCACTTATGAGTGAGTACATGTGATAATTGTCTTTCTGTGTCTGGGTTACCTCATTCAAAATGATGTTTTCTAGCTCTATCCATTTGCCTGCAAAATTCAAGATGTCGTTATTTTTTTCTGCTGTGTAGTACTCCATTGTGTAAATATGCCACATTTTCCTTATTCATTCTTCAGTCGAGGGACATTTAGGTTGTTTCCAGGTTCTGGCTATGACAAACAATGCTGCTATGAACATAGTTGAGCACGTGCCCTTGTGGCACGATTGAGCACCCTTTGGATCTATACCCAAAGTTGTATTACTTGGTCTTGAGAAAGGTTTCCTAATTTTCTGAGAAATCGTCACACTGACATCCAAAGAGGTTGTTCCAGCTGGCATTCTCACCACCAATGCAGAAGTGTTCTCTTTACCCCCAACCTCTCCAGCTTAAGTTGTCATCAGTGTTTTTGATCTTGGCCATTCTTACAGGTATAAGATGGAATCTCAGAGTTGTTTTGATTTGCATTTCTCTGATGACTAAGGATGTTGACCATTTCCTTAAGTATCTTTCAGCCCTTTTAGATCATTCTGTTGAGAGTTCTCTGTTTAGGTTGGACATCATTTTTATTGGATTATTTGTTCTTTTGATGACCAATTTCTTGAGTTCTTTGTATATTTTGGAGATCAGACCTCTGTCTGATGTGGGGTTAGTGAAGATCTTTTCACATTCTGTAGGCTGTAGTTTGTCTTTCTGACTGTGTCCTTTGCTTTACAGAAGTTTTTCAGTTTCAGGAGTTACCATTTATTAATTGCTTCTCTCAGTGTCTGTGCTACTGGGTTATAATTTAGGAAGTGGTCTCCTGTGCCAACGTGTTCAAGTGTACTTTCCACTTTCTCTTCTATAAGATTCATTGTGGATGGCTTTATATTGAGGTCATTGATCAATTTGGACTTGAGTTTTGTGCATGATGATAGATATGGGTTTATTTTTATTCTTCTACATGTTGATATCCAGTAATGCCAGTACCATTTGTTAAAGATGCTTTCTTTTTTTTCCATTTAATGTTTTTTTTTGCTTCATCAAAAATTAGGTGTTCGAAGCTATGTGGATTGATATCAGGGTCTTCTATTTGGTTCCATTGACCCTCCTGTCTGTTCTTGTGCCAATACCAGGCTTTTCAGTACTGTAGCTCTGTAGTAGAGTTTGATGTCAGGGATTGTTATGCCTCCAGAAGTTATTTTCTTGTACAAGATTGTTTTGACTATTCTGGGTTTTTTGCTTTTCCATACGAAGTTGAGTGCCGTTTTTTCAAGGTCTGTGAAGAATTTTGCTGGGATCTTGAAGGGAATTGCATTGAATCTGTAGATTGCTTTTGGTAAGATTGCCATTTTTACTATGTTAATTTTGCCTTCCCAAGAGCATGGGAGATCTTTCCACTCTATGGTGTCTTCTTTAATTTCTTTCTTCAAATATTTAAAGCTCTTGTCATACAAGTCTTCCACTTGCTTGGTTATTGTTACTCAGAGATATTTTATGCTATTTGTGACTATTGTGAAGGTTGTTGATTCTCTGATTTCTTCCACAGTCCTTTTATCATCCTTGTACAGGAAGACTACTGATTCTTTTGAGTTAATCTTGTATCCTGCTATGTTGCTGAAAGTGTTTACAAGTGGTAGAAGTTCCTTGGTAGAATTTATCAGAAAAAAATGTCTGATATATTAAGTTCCTGCATAAGATGTTATATTGAATTATATTGATATAGTGTTAAACCTTATTCTATCCAAAACTTTCTTGGTCTGAACGTTAGAACCACTGTTTATGTTCAGAAAAACCACTGTTTATGGGTTCAGAAAAACCTGAATAGGATGGATTAAGCATTTTTATTTCTGTTGGAACAAAGATACACTTAGTGAAAGAGTGGAGAGGAATCAAAATTTTCTATACATTCTCAATGTTTAGAAGTGGAGATTGAACACTTATTTACAAACAATGGAAGAAAGATTTGATACTCTCAAAAGCATATACCCACAAAACACTGTATTTTACTATGGGACATAGATATAGAGAAATGGATAATCATTCATTTTATTTATTTATTTTTTACTTTTATGTACATTGGCGTGTTTACTGTTATGTAGGCCTGTGTAAGGTTTTAAGGTCCTTGGAACTGGAGTAAGAGACAGTTGTGATCTACCTTGTAGGTGCTAGGATTTGAACCCAAGTTCTCTAGAAGATCAGCTAGTGATCTTGCCTGTTGAAAAATCTCCAGATCAATGTGATAATTATTTTTCTTTCATTTTTTTCTTTATTGTGGAAAAAGTCAGCAGACCCTTTATCACTTCTGAAGTATAGGGTTCAGAACCTTTAGTTGGGATGGGTCCATTTCCACTTCACCACCAAAGGCTTCTGTCTTTCCAGGATGTCACTGCCCTTCAGGTGGCCTGGATGCTATGTGCAGATCAGGAAAGTACATGTTCTTTCAGATCATGTGCCTGATGCTGTTGAGGGTGACATGTGCATTCTTGCTGATGGTGGCCCTTATGTATGAAGTAACTCATTTTCACTGACCAGATCTGCATTTCATTACCACTACAAAACCTTTGACATTGGCTCCACTCCCACAGTTTTACAGTAAATCAGCCTGTTGTAGTGGACAGAGTTGCAGAACTTCAGGGTATTGGGTATTGGTTCAGGGCATGTGTGTTTATTCCTTCTGATCAGGAAATTGCAGTAGTACCAAACGACCATCCATTGCAGATGCACACACATGATAGTGACTTTTCTTTTTATGGTGACCAGAGACAGAAAAAGACAATTATTCTTAATTAATGATATGGCCATTGGTGTGATCTTGTCTATGTTCCAGTGTATGTTTCCCTCATGAGCAAATAGTTAACGCTAACTGGAGTTAATAGGTTAAAAAAGAAGGATATGAAGTTTGTAGAAGATCTTGTTGGAGAGGCTATATAAGGGAGGGTTGTATATGGAAAACTGGAGGTAGAAATAATATTTCATTGTGGATATGTGCAAATCTTTCAAAAGTAAAAAAATTTGAAAGGGCATTGAGAAAAAAATAAAACGTTGTTCTAGAACAAAAATATTTAAATATTGGTCTCACTTTTGTATAATTTCTGGCATTACATTTTGGCAAGAATACAGGACAGGGTTCCAATTTGAATGTTTATTATGTTATTGTATAAGTCTGTGGTAGTTTGAATGAGAATGTTGCCCATATTCTCACTCTTGAATACTTGGGCCACAGTTCTTTTTTTTATTGACTTTTATTGAATTGTACATTTTTCTCTGTTCTCCTCCCTGCCTCTCCCCTCCCTCCTCCAGCCCTCCCCCGAGGCCCCCAAAGGGCCACAATTCTGAGCACTGTTTGGGAGTCATTAAGGAGGTATGGTCTTTCTTAGAAAGTCAGTTCCTGAGCTGTGCTTTGAGAGTTATAGCCTTACCCCACTTTCTTTTCCCTCTCTGTTTCACACTATGGGAAAGAGGTGATCTCTTTGCTTCCTGCTCCAGCAGCTACTTGCTGACATGTCTTTCATTTGTGAACAGATAAAAAGAAAAATCATTATCTACACTAACAAATTGATGACATTATTGAGGTCTTGGATTAAATTTAAGAATGTAGGAGGAAATAGCATGGTGCCTTGTGCCCTCAGGCCAAAAATAGCAATCCTGATTCCCGGAATCTCACTCAGAGGGAGACTGTGTCTAGGAGCTGCCTCACCCTCTCTTATATTCCTCTCTAGGCCTGGGATTAAAGGTGTATACCACTGGGATTAAAGACATACACCATCCAATTTCTATGGCAACTAGGGTGGTGACTAGGATTAAAGGTGCATATTATTGTGGCTATTGCAATTAAAAGAGTGTGTCAATGTGGCTACTGATATTAAAGGTATGTGTTACCATAATCTGGTCTATAAGGCTAAGCAGTGGGACTGCTTCACTCTCAGATCTTCAGGAAGTCTTATTTATTAAAATACAATGCCATTACATTTCCCCTTTTTGTCTAAGAAAGAATGCTATAACTAATATAAGAAAACTATACATAATAAGTACAATGACTGTATATATATATGTATGTATATAAAATGCAGGCAATAAATACATCAACAGTGTCTAGTCTATTTGTATTTGACAAATTCAGATAAAATATTTTATATCTATCTTATCTTGGTGAGTCCAAAGTCTTATACCTAATTTACTTTCTATCATAACTTACTTTCTGTGTCTGGTAATCTATAACTATAACTATCTAATCTTCAACTCCCTCAGAAACCCAAGAAGAAAATAATATTAACTGAGTAAGCAAGCGACTTCCAAAATATATGAGTAATGATAGAAACCACTGGCTGCCTGGGCAATCACCCAAAATTCCTTTGCAATGTTAGGGCAATGTTAGGTTACAGGCCTAGCATATTTGACAGACTTTTTGTGAAGCAGGATATTTTGTGTCCCACTTGTCTAATTAGGACAGAATAAAGTCAGTAGTCAACACAGGGGCATTTTCTTGCCCAGTGGCTTACATTTGCCACAAATTAAGAGTTCTCTGTGTGGAGTTTTTTGATATTCATTATTTTCTCTAAAGTAGATTGGTTCTGTCCAGAGCAGACATAAATCATAGTCATAAAACAAAGAATGTAGGTTATTAAAACATCTTAAATGTTAGATTCTGTAGATCTCTGAACTGCTTGAAGATTACCTTTCTATTTAAATTATATTTTAGTTGAACCTTGAAAACATACCTAATGTGACTAAAAATTTGATTATAATAGGTGATTAACTACTAACCTATATTTCTTTATTATCCAAAATGTTGATAATAATAATTTTTTTAAAGTTTATTAAATTATAAAAGTTTCCATTTACGCTCCTCCTCCCAACACCCTCCCACTTCCCCCACTCCCTCTCCTCCTCCCTCTCCATCCCTAAGAGTAGTCAGGGTTTCCTGCCCAGTGGGAAGTTCAAGTTCCTCCCCCCTCCCTCCAGGTCCAGGAAGGTGAGTATCCAAACAGACTGGATCCCAAAAATCCAGTATATGCAGAGGAAACAAGTCCCAGTGTCATTGTCAATGGCTTTTCAGAAAGACTCCAGGCCAGCCACATCCAGAGAATCTGGCCACATTCAGAGAATCTGGTTAGATCACGTGCTCATTCAGTTCCAGTCCGGCTGGCCTTGGTGAACTCTCATTAGATCAGTCCACTTGTATCAGTGGGTGATGACGCCCATCGCAGTCCTGATTTCTTTTTTCATTTTCTTCATCCTTCTGCTCCTCATTTGGACCATGGAGGGTTCCGTCCGGTGCTCCAAAATGGGTCTCCGTCTGTATCGCCATTCAATGTCAGATGAAGGTTTCCTCTGCTCTTGCCCTCTTTGTTCACGTTCTCCTTCCTTCTGCCTCTCGTTTGGACCTAGGGAGCTAGGTCCAGTGTTTCGATGTGGGTCTCCGCCTCCATCGCCCTCCATCGCCAGATGAGGGTTCTATGGTGATATGCAAAATGTTCATCAGTATGGTTGTGGGCCAAGGCCGGTTCAGGCACCCTCTCCTCTGTCCAGAGAACAATCTGGGGATCTCTCCTTGGACCTGGGATCCCCTTCACGAGCTTAACTCAAAAAAGAGACACATACAAACTCTATTAAACAAATAAACAAAAAATAATATTAACCGGAGTCAACAACCACTGGTCACTAATATCACTTAATAGTAATGGACTCAACTCATCTATAAAAAGGCACAGACTAAGAGATTGGATACGAAAACAGGATCCAACATTCTGCTGTTTACAAGAAACACACCTCAAACACAAAGATGGACATCTACTCAGAGTAAAGGGTTGGGAAAAGGTTTTTCAAGCAAACGGACCTAAGAAACAAGCAGGTGTGGCCATTTTAATTTCCAACAAAATTGACTTCAAACTAAAATCAATCAGAAGAGATGGAGATGGACATTTTATACTCATAACAGGAACAATTCATCAGGAGGAAGTCTCAATCCTAAATATCTACGCCCCTAATATAAAGCCTCCTACTTATGTAAAAGAAACACTTCTAGAACTCAAGGCAGTCATCAAATCATACACACTAATAGTAGAAGACTTCCACACTCCTCTCTCACTAATGGACAGGTCAATCAGACAGAAACCTAAAAGAGAAATAAGAGAATTATTGGAGGTATTGAATCAAATGGACTTAACAGACATCTATAGAACGTTCCACCCAAATAAGAAAGAATATACCTTCTTCTCTACAGCTCATGGAACCTTCTCAAAAATTGACCACATACTGGGTAACAAAGCAAACTTCCACAGATACAAAAAAATATTAGTAACCACCTGTGTCTTGTCAGACCACCATGGATTAAAGTTAGAATTCAACAACAGTGCTACCCCCAGGAAGCCAACAAATTCATGGAGGTTGAACAGTCAACTACTGAATCACCCCTGGGTCAAGGAAGAAATAAAGAAAGAAATTAAAGTCTTCCTTGAATTTAATGAAAATAAAGACACAACATACTCAAACCTATGGGACACAATGAAAGCAGTGCTAAGAGGAAAGCACTAAGTGCCCAATTAAAGAAAACGGAGAAAGCACACATTGGAGACTTAACAGCACACTTGAAAGCTCTAGAAAAAAAAGAAGCTGATTCACCCAGGAGGAGTAGAAGACTGGAAATAATCAAACTGAGGGCTGAAATCAACAAAATAGAAACAGAGAAAACAATCCAAAGAATCAATGAATCAAAAAGCTGGTTCTTGGAGAAAATCAACAAGATTGACAAGCCCCTATCCAAATTAATCAAACGGCAGAGAGAGAACATGCAAATTAATAAGATCAGAAATGAAAAGGGGGACATAACCACAGACACAGAGGAAATTCAGAGAGTCATTAGATCTTACTACGAAAATTTATATGCCACAAAGTTGGAAAATGTACAAGAAATGGACACTTTTTTAGATAAGTACCATATACCAAAGTTGAACCAAGACCAGGTGAACAATCTAAACAGACCTGTCAGTCGTGAAGAATTAGAAGCTGTTATTAAAAATCTCCCTACCAAAAAAAGCCCAGGACCAGATGGTTTCATTGCAGAATTCTACCAGATAATAATAATTTTAAGACTAGAGATTTGCATTACATTGCCAAATGAACTATATAAGTATAATACCTTGAACAAGATTAGAAATGTATGTGCAATATGTTTTAACAAAATTAATCACAAATTTGTATCAACATATAAAATTTGCATATTCTCTACAAAAGTGAAATCAATGTTAAACATTTAAAACTAATCCTTGCATGAAGCTACCATTACCCTGATACCAAAAGCATACAAAGACACAACCAAAAAAGAGAATTACAGGCCAATCTCACTCATGAACAACGACGCAAAAATCCTCAACAAAATACTGGCAAACCGAATTCAAGAACACATTAGAAAAATTATCCATTATGATCAAGTAGGCTTCATCCAAGAGATGCAGGGCTGGTTCAACATATGCAAATTTATCAATGTAATCCATCATATAAATATACTGAAAGAAAAAAACCATATGATCATTTCACTAGATGTTGAAAAAGCATTTGACAAAATTCAACACCCCATTATGATAAAGGTGTTGGAGAGATTGGGGACACAAGGATCATACCTAAATATAATAAAAGCTATTTACAGCAAGCCGACAGCTAACATCAAATTGAATGGAGAGAAACTCAAAGCCATTCCTCTAAAATCAGGAACACGACATGGCTGTCCACTC